AAATGAAATGTGTTGTGTTGTGTTTTAATAATATGTTGTCTCAATACAAGATAATTATATTTTATTTTGTTGTTCTGTTTTGATTTTATAAGTTACCATATTATTATTATTATTATTATCTCGAAACATCGTATAATTAGTTTGATGAATTTTCAGGTTTAGAGTGCAAAACACGACTAAACAATACACATGATAAACGTTATAATCGTATGTATACGCATAGAAAAAATTGCAAAATTTTCCCGCAAAAATGAGGTAATAAAGAACATCAACATGAGACGGACATATTAACATACGGGAGCGCGTACTCGTGATTTTTTTTTTCATGTTATTCAATTTTATTTCGAATTTAAAAGCACATGATATATATATATATATATTTCCACACTTGAAATCACAAAGTGAAAATGATATATAGAAAGATATATATATTAAGGGTGTGATTCTTTGGAAAACTTTCTCAAACTCTCACTATTCATTAATTTTATTTTATTTTTTCAAAAATATCAAAGCAAACACCTAATTTTTATTTGTTATAATACTAAAAATAAATTTTATATTCAAAATATTATATCAGCACCTATTTATATCACATCATACAACTATTTCAATTCAAAATTTTTATTATTTAAATTTCAACTCAAAATCTAAACCTCGAAAGTAATTAATTAAGGTCCATTAAAAAATTAGATGAATGTCTCTTTCATTTTCTTTAGATTGTGACCATATCTCACATGAATCACACCATCCTTAACTAATCTCACTTATGGGTGTTTGCACATCTATGTCATAAGAAGATCTAGCTCTATTTCTATATTATATTAAAAAATAATACTCACACCGTCCAATTTCTGTTGTCCTAAAATATATTTGTAAAGTTTTTTAAGTGATTGTCTTTTTGTTATGATTTGACAAATTTGTCCTTAATTGTATGATAGAGATTAAAAGTAATAAATGAATGAAGAGTAAAAATGTAAAATTTGTATTTAAAAAAGGAAATAGGACAATAGTTGTAGGAATCTCAAATAAGAAAGTAGGACATTAGTTTTAGTTTATGAATGGATGAAGTATTTTATTGGTTAGTGAAAACGCATAAAAAAATTGACATTTTTACCCCTTCACTTTATTTATAAAGTAATTGCACGTGGTAATGATATATTTGTAATTTAAGTAAAAATTAAATGATATTTTAATATTAGTGTATGATTATTTTTTTCTTAAACAAGAAAGATATACTTTTGAGTGTGACGGACGAAAATAGTAAAAGAAAACACTTTGAATTGGGACCATGTACTTTATATCTATTTATATTGACTTTTGTCCAAAATTAGAATATTTTTTTTTTTTTAAGGTGAAAAGTATTAAAATTACTGCTCCCCCGTCATCTTGGTAAATATATATTTTTTCATTTTTTGTTTTTCATTTTCTGTTTTAGTAAATATGGACATCACTGCATATTACAAATATTTTTATATTTATATTTATTTAAATCAATACCCTCACAATCATTTTACATATCATAAAAATAAAATAGTTTTTACTTCATCGTCTCACGTAATTTGTCCTTATTTTATATTTTTGTCTGTCTTACATAATTTGTCATTTTTTTTAAAGATATAATTATACATTTTAATTACATTTTAAATTTTAGAATTTTTTTAATTTTAATTAAATTATTTAGTTATTTTAATTTTAATTTATAATTATTTCTACTGTACAATAATTATTTTTACTAATACACTTTTTAATTACTTACTAATTATATTTTTTTTTAAATTTTTGCATCTACAGAAATACACATATTTTATGGGACGGAGAGTGTATAATAATATTTATTAAATTCCTTGCAAAAAATAAATATGTAATGATAAAGTAGATAGAGAGAGTTTTTATCCCTAATATAATAATAATAATAATTAAATATAATATAAATAATATATTATATTTAAATTAAAATATAAAATATAAAATTATGATTGAGATACCAAATTTAAAATATAAAATTTTAATTATAGTAGAAACATAAAGTTATTAAATATATATTGTTAAAAACTTATATTTATATTTCTCACCTCAATTTCATTCAAAATTCATTTATTTCTTTATAATACTAAATAATAGTATTTTTTAAACACCGTACACTAGTCAAATGCGTCAATTTGTGACGGGACGAAAAGAATATTTTTAATTTAATTATATTATTATAAAAAAAAAATTTTTAAAAAATATAATTAATATATTAATCGGATCCAATTCTAATTGGATCCACCATTAGCTTTTAGATCCACCCGAGCCTAGATCCAATCCGAGCATGAGTGGATATATAATATCCGAAGCATATCCTACTAACTATTCGAATAATTAGATCAAACCCAAACTAAATGGTCGGATCCGATCCAGGTCGGGATTGAGTCTACCCTTAGTCTCTAGATCCGACTGACTATCCTAATAATTGAAACCGACTCTAAATAAATAAGTCGGATTCAGACCGGACCTATTGAGATTGATCCATTACCATCTCTAGCTATCGACACCGATTAAATATTATATTAATATAATATGATTAAATATTATATTAATATAATACAAATATAATAAAAATTAATTAGTGAATAATAATTCGTAGTTTGTATGTAATTCTTTGAATTTGTGTTTTTTTTTTTTTTTTTTTACGTGTGAAATAATCTGCCAATCATTGTGGCACCATTTTCTCCTTGGGATGTGCTCCGTAGATCACCGGCGGCTGGTCGGCGGTCAAAGGTCATTCTTGGAAGCACCCTGGACCCGAAGTCCCGACCGTCGTTTGCTTCTAGCCGGTCTCGTGTTCCATGGACTTCCTCAACTGCTTTCTTGTTATTCCACACAAAAAATCTTTTTATTTTATTATTATTATTTTTTTTAATTTCTAAAACAGAATTTTTTTTATACTTTTTTTTTTTAATTTCTAAAACAGAATTGTGAAAACAAATATCAAATCAAATATTTTTATTTATTATATTATATTTTAAATGTTTACTTTCAAAATATCATACAAATAAATATTTAAATCACACAAATAATTAATTTAATTTAAAATTTTACTGTTAAAACTCAAAATTAAAATATCACGAATAAACATATTATTAAATACTTTATATTTTAGAAGGATTTTTAAAATTTTAGAAATTTTAAAAGAAGTGAAATTTAAATAAAAGGTTTTTTTTTTTTAAATAATATTAGATTTGTTCAATTTATGTTTATAATCTATGTATTTTTATATGCTAAATATAAAATATTATATTTATAATATAAAAAAAACCATATGTTATAAATTATTGACATTTTGTAAATAGATAATATATATATTATATATTGTGTTAAGTTTTTTTTTTTCTTTTAAAATATTACATCAAACCAACTCACTCAGAATCTACTCAAAATTTTCAATGTTTTTTTTATATTTTCAATAAACAAATATATTTATATATATTCAAAAAAATATTTATTCAGAAAATTAATTTATATTAATTATAAATAGTTTTTTTTATTTTTTTATTATATAAAATTTTATTCTCTATAGTATCAATATGGTATATATTTTATCAAAATATAATATTAAAATAATTAAACATATTTTAAAAAAATTTAATCTCATATACATTGCATTATAAATCAAATATTAATTAAATAAATCATTTTTAATACAACTTGGCTTTGATTTTGAATAGTAAAATTTTGAATTGAAATAGTTGTTTGATGTAATATGAACATGTATTGATGTAATATTTTGAATGTAAAATTATATTTTAGTTTAATAAAATAAATAAAAATTAGGTGTTTGATTTAATATTTTCGGAGGAAAAGAAAACTGGAATAACAAAATTATAGATAAAATTGTACAAGGAAACACACCCCACTGTTTTTTTAGTCTAAATTTAATCCGGAAATTTATAATTTTATTTACATAATATTTTCTAAAAGAAAAAAAATTAATTTTTTTAAAAAATATACTTCCTTCATTTTCAAACAATAGTCTCATTTTGTCATTTGCGTACATCCCAAAACAATAATCTCGTTTCTATTTTTGGTAACAACCTCCACACGTTTTTTACAAAATTATCCCCATATTTTCACAATAATTATATAAAATAGAAGTATTTTGGTCTTTTAAAAATACTTTTACATTTACTGTCAATACATTACTATTATTTCTTAATTTTATTGAGCCAATCCGAAATGTCCCTGTTTTTTGGACGGAGGAAGTATATAAACTTCAAATTGGCTAAAAATATATTGTTTTTAATTTGAATTTGGGTTTTGATTAATAAAAAAAAATTAAATTTGAATAATTATATAATGTAATATAAATTTGTTGATGATATTTTTTAAATGTAAAATTAATTTTTAATATAATATAAAAATAAAAAATAAATGTTTTATTTAATATTTTGAAAAAATAATAGTATTAATAAATATTTATTTTGTTTTATTTTTATATTTTTATATTTTTTGTTTTTCAAACTAAAATAAAAAATAAAAATTATCTATGTATAAGTCAAGGGCGATTGTGGCGCTGATTCGATTGACATGTATCCTTCGGCGCCAAATAACTAAATGTGGAAATTTTTTTTTTATATAGTACTATTTTAAGAAAGTCTTCAATTATAAAATTAAAATGATAAAAATGTCTAGCTAAAAACTAAAACACAATTTACCGAAAAATAAATAAATAAATAATATATCTATTTTCTCTATTCATATTAAATACTACTATCACTTGCTAGTGGATGGAGGAGTATGTATTTAATGTTAAAAGTGAATCTGTATAATTTCTTTTTTTTTTCGTATAATATTTTTAATAAAATTAAATTTTAAATTTAATAAATTTAGAGAAAAATATTGATTATTAATTATAAAATTAACTTAAAAACATAATATAGCCTTCTTTTTAATTAAATAATAATTATAAGAAAATCGAAAATGAAAGCCTTTCTTCTCAATCTACACACATATATATATCGCTTCTTACACTTAATTATCAGGTTGTCCTAAAACAGGGTTCAATGGCGGAGCCACCGCCACCGCCGCGGCAGTCGGAAACCGAGTCGAGCGGGTCGACTCAGGGCAACAACGCGAAGGCTTTGCACAAAAGAAGTAGAGAAATCGGGTCCGGCTCAGACAGTGAGAACCCGGTTCGAGAAAACCGAACCGGCGGGAATATGAAGAAGGACAATGTCGGCGCTAAGCATCCGGTGTACAGAGGAGTGCGAATGCGGGCGTGGGGCAAATGGGTGTCGGAGATCCGGGAGCCCCGGAAGAAGTCCCGGATCTGGCTCGGGACCTTCGAGACCCCCGAAATGGCCGCCAGAGCCCACGACGTCGCCGCCCTCGCCATCAAAGGCGGCGCCGCCATTCTCAATTTTCCGGCGACGTCACACCTCCTCCCTCGCCCCGCCACATGCGCCCCACGTGACGTCCAGGCTGCCGCCGCCAAAGCCGCCCAAATTGACGGCCGACGAGAATCGCCGCCGCCGTCGCCGCCGCCGGCGGAGGAGCTCGACGAGATCGTGGAGCTGCCGAGTCTGGAAACGAGCTGCGAGGACCGGCCGGTCGAGATGAACCGCGATGAGTACGTGTACGCACAGGATTACGACACGTGGAAGTGCGTCGTCCATCCGACGTTGGAGGATTTTGCATTTTTCTTGCAGGGAAACGAGGATGCCGTCATTTCTCCTCAGCTTCGATGGTACGATGATTAATTAATTAATGTTAAATAAATAATTAATTAATTAATTAATGTTGCGTAATCACATTACTTTATTTGATGAAATGTTCAATCACAAATGGGTTTAGACTTTCAGATTTTATTCCCAATTTGTCTTCGCTTTTGCCTTTTAATTTATTTATTTTTTTCTATGAATTTACAATTAATTTTTCGTTGAATAATTTTTTATTTTAATTTTTCATATAAATTAAACAATACTCTCTAGGTCCACAAACTAATGTCCTACTTTCCAACAACTATTATTTTTTTTAACACAAATTTTACATTTTTATCCTTCATTCATTTATTACTTTTAATTTCTAATATACAATTAAAGGCAAATTTATCTGACAAAAAGACAATTAAAATTGGACGGAGGGAGTATCAGCTGCAATGCGTGCTTGGATATTTATTTTATAAATTAAGGAAAATTTGATTTTATTAAATAAAGGCTCTATTCTTTAATAATTTGGTTTTAATTTTTTACTAAACTATTAGCTAGTTACATATATATTTACATCAAAATTATTTTCAAATTATATATATAAAAAACTTCAAACAAATACAATTTTTTTTTTCATTTAATCTCAGATGAATTTAATTTGTGATTTTTTTAATATTAAGTAGGATATAATATTTTTTAAAAATATATATACATATATATTGTATTATTACAAGGAATCTTGAAAATTGTATAACAGAAATATTTAAAAATTCAGATACATAGGGACAAAAATTTTCTGTTCAAAGGGAAATGTAAATGACATTAATTTTTTTTAGATAAACAATACTAATTTATTCTTTTGTTATTTCAAATTGAAATTAATTCTATTTAATTCATATGATTATAATAAAAATATATTATTTTATTTCACAAAATATTATATTAAAATACTAGTATTTAAATAAAAATTAAATTAACATTTCATTTCATTTCATTTCAAATCACAATCAAATAAAATAAAATTTAAAATAGGTAAACTTAACCATTTGGTTCATTTGCATTTTAATTTTTTAATAAAATAATTTTAATAGTATGGTATAATTACGAAACTTAATAATAGACACATTTACACAAATACATTGATACATTTATCTAATAATAACTTTAAAAATTTTGATTAATACATTTTAATAATGATAAACAAATCTATTTACTAATTTGTAGTTAACAAAACAAAATAAAATAAAAAATTATTTATTTTAATTTCTGTTTGTATTTCACTTATAATCAATGTTTAATAGTATAAATTTGTAACTAATTGACCTACTTGTTTGTAATGTTGAAACATTTTGAATTTAAATTTAATTTTTAAATGGGTAAATTGTTTTTTTTAGTCCCGTAAATGGACCATTTGTCATTTTAGTCCCGTAAGTGGAGCATATCGCAAACTAGTCCCATAAGTGAAAAATTTTCGTTGTTTTAGTCCTCCGATGCCGGAGATGCCTGCGTGGCTCGCCGGAGTTAACGTGTCCGCCAGGTGTCGCTGACCTGGCGGACACGTGGATTTTTTATTTTTTTTTTCATTGTTTAAAACTTATTTTTAATTTATTTTAAATTTTATTTGTATTTTTTTATTTGGTCCAATTAAAAAAATATGAAAATAATAATAATAATAAATCCACGTGTCCGCCAGGTGTCGCTGACCTGGCGGACACGTCACCTCCGGCGAGCCATGCGGGCGTCTCCGACGCCAGAGGACTAAAACAGCGAAAATTTTTCACTTATATAACTAGTTTGCGACGGGCTCCACTTATATGACTAAAATGATAAAGGGGTCCAGTTACGGGACTAAAAATACAGTTTACTCTTTTTAAATAAATAAAAAAACATTGTATTTAATTATTATAAGAAATAAAATACTGTAATAATGTTTATTCTCAATGCCCAATTCTCCACTTCATTGCATAATTCTCTATAATAATAAAAATCACAACCAAAAATCCATAAATGTAATTAATAACATATCCCAAAATTTCAATTTTAAATTTGAATGGTCACCCCCAATAGTCACATGCAAAATTATCACACTTTACCTCATTTCAACTTACAATTAATGGCACAAATAAAAATAGATTTATCTTTCTATTATTATTATTATTATTATTATTATTATTATTATTATTATTATTGTTGTCGTCGTCTTCGTCGTTGTCGTCGTCGTTTTTCAGAGTAAATTACATAAAATGTTGTTTTATTTACTTCATCCGTCGTGCAAATGTGTGCTCATTTGATCAGATACGAATTTTAATAAAAGTAAATAATAATTGTTATTTTTTTCTTTTTATTGTAAAAAAAATACAAAAATATAATAATTTTTCACTTTAAAAAATGAAAATATTCAACTCAAAAATAAAAATAAGCATAGATTTGAATGACTATAATTTTTTTTATATTAACATAAAATTTGCATATTATTATTATTATTATTAAAGTTGCAAAATAACCATAACTAAAAAACAAGGTATATTTTGTGGATGCTTGTATAAAAAATAAAAAATAAATTCATGATATAATCACAATGTCCTACATTTTTTTCTCTAATTTTATTTTAAAAAATTGATAAAAGTTGATAACTTTGAAATAATCATCCGCTTATCATTAGAATGACCTTATATAGCATAGAAATAAATATTATAAAATGTCTAATTAATATGAGAAACAAATAAAATAAATCATTTTGAAATCACAAAAACCAAAACTAATTGATTGTATGAGTTATATATATAATAATAAATGGTGTGTTTTTATATTCCAAAGATAATATATATTTTTTTTAGTTTCTTTTATCATTTTAGGACTATAATTAAATTATGTATTAGATTAGTTTTACAATTAAAACTTTTTATTTATTTATTTATTTTTTATATAGAAATAATCCTCATACACCAGAATTACTAACGAAGTAACATCATAGTATGTCAGAGATTGTGTTAATGACACATGAACATCTATTTGAGGATTATTTTAAAATTAATTGAATTAGTTCTACATTTTAAAAATATTGACAATAATGATCCTCATATGTCATTCATATAATCTCCGACTTTTCGTACCAACAAATTCGAGACTTAAGAACCATTATTGTCTTTTTTTTTTTATATATAATTATGAAACTAATTCAACATGATATAATAACGATACAAATATTGTATATGTTAATATAATACAAATACATCACATGAACTAACGATACATGTTATAGTCTCATACAATACACACAATAGTTAATTTTAACACATGACATATTCTTATACAACATATACCTTTATTATATACGGTATGTATGTGTTGTATATAATAATATTACTTGTTGTTTGTACATATAACATGTGCTGACTTGAAAATTTATCCTTATGTTTTAATCCAATTATTCACATGTTAGAAGGAAATATAATTTGAAAGATATTTTTTACTCAACTTTTCTTTAAAAAAAAAAAAAAATAAAGAACACTTTTTAATTGTACATATTTATATATTTATATTGACTTTTACTCGAAAATAAAATTAACTTTTGAAATTCAAAATTATTTTTTAAAAGTAACTTGGCTGGCTAAACACTTTTGAAATTAATTACTATAAAATTATTGTTAGTAGGTGAATTTATTTCTTATATATTTTTTTTAATTTATTTAACATATATTTCTAATGAATTTTTAATTAAAAACTTTGATCTGTTCACTTAATATATTAAACTAAATTTATTTGATACATAGAGTTCTTGAATTTCATCCATTATTTATTAATTATTTCTTTTTTATTTAATTAGATGGTACCGAAGGAAAAGGAGGATATACTATATATGTATATTATTTTATAAAAAATAAAATTTTATATAATATAGATAAATAAATTATTTATCATTACTATAAATTAGTTTTATAAAAAAATTCATTTGTAAGATTTTGGTTTTGAATAGTAAACGTTTGCATTGGAATAGTTGTTTGATGTGATGTTTTGAATGTAAAATTTAATTTTAGTGTAATATAATAAATAAAAAATAGGTGTTTGATTTGATGTTTTTTAGGGAAAAAGTTTTAAATAATGAAATCCAAAATCAAATCCCTCGTATAAACACTCTATGAGATAAATTGTATAAAATATTAGAAATTAATTAAATTGATTTATATTTATTAAATGTATTTAATATTGATAAATTTATTAAAAATATAGAAAATAGTATTCCTCCGTCCCACATACCATGTTCATGTTGCCGTTTCTGGCCGTCCCACATTCTATGTCACTTTCCTTTTTTAGAAAATAATTACACACTTTAATTTCATTTTAACTTTTTAATTAATTTATTTTTTTAATTTTAATTAACTAATTAATTATCTTAATCTTTATTTATAATTATTTATATTATAGGATAATTATTTTCACTAATACATTTTTAATTATTTACTAATTATACCTCTCCTAAAATATCTCCTAAAATACCATGTCTATAGTCTACAGTGTAGCAGACATGGTATATGGGACGGAGGGAATAATATTTTATGGGATCGACAAAAAAAATATATATAGATATATATATATATATTTGTGATGGGATTATAACTCTGAATGGGAATCGGGCTCAATCGAGTTTGGGTCTATGAATATATGGGCCACTACATTTCTATTTATTTATTTATTTAAATCGTTATATATATTATATCTAATAATTTATATAAATTAAATAAATATAATAATATAGGTTTGATAATTAAGAATCCGCTGTAGCAAAATTAAAAAATCTTTGGAGATTTCGGCCACTGCCTCGACGGTGGTGGTTCCAGGTTCGAGTCCTGGCAGCGGACTTAAATTTTATTTATTTTTTAGTCCATTTAGTTGAATTTTTTTATCATATTTGGTCAATATTTTTGGAACCATTAATTTCAGTTCCTAAGTCATCTCTCTCTATTTTTATTTTTAGTTCAACAATTTTTTTTATTAATAGTATTAAAAAAATATAATAGTAATACAATATATATTCTATTTATTTACAAAAAAATCAATAATTAAGTATAAAATATTATTTTTATATTATCAATATAATTTTTCATACATAACATTAAAAAAAAAAACACTTACATCTAAAAACACAAACTAAACAAACCCAATATGTACTTTTTTATA